ATGAAAAATATTGGGGGGAAATCCCACAATTGCTTAATCTGAACTTGGTGGTAGAGGTGGCAGACAGACACATCTGCCCAACCTCCCAGTAGGATGACCAAGTCCTTCCGTGTTAGCACATTCTAGGAACCCCCTTCTCCCCAGGCAAACACGGAGCCAGTCACTAAACCACTGTGTCACTGTGCAGGGACCCTGCAGCCCAAACTTGAAGGTGACAAGACACAACTGTATTCTATGGAATTGTGTTCCAGGGGCTGCACTGTGAATGATGCCCCAGGAGCTGTGCCAGTGGTGCTGCCCCTTAGTCACCTCCAGGGAAAGAAAGAGATGAAAACACCTGCCACCTGTCCTGGCCAAACACAGGGCACGGCCTCATTGCCCTGCCTCTGGCTCCCCAGCTTGACGCAGAAGGAACTCATCCAGCTGCCCCAGGCCCCAAAGCAGTCCTGACTGAGCAGAGAGCCCTGTGCACTCTCCTTGGTTGCTGAGGATCTGACCAAACTCCCCGTGCTGGGCAGGGGGCAGGGGCCTTCAGCTCAGTCTAGGTGAGGGGTTCCAGTCTAATCCTGACTGGTGAGGCCCATCCATCCCAGGATCCCCTCTGGATCCTTCTCCGTACTCCTAGCCCTCATCAGGCCTGAGTCCACCTCCCTATCCTGTTGGGCCCTGGAGCTGCTCAGACTGAGACAGTGGCCCAGGCCTCTGAACCCATGGTCCACACCTGAGGACGGGCTCACCTAGGAGGCTTAACCAGGTTCCCCAGGCAGGGGCAGGAGTGGAGGGCAGTTTCCACCGCAAAGCCCACTATCCCCCACAACCCCGCTCAAGGTGCAAGCCAAGTGCGGAACCGAGGGTCATTCTCCGCCTTCCACTCTTCTTTGAATAAACAGACTCGGTTCTAACATTTTAGATACGTCAGCATCACAATTCTCGAGAAACACAACTCTCATGCAATCATGGATTTTTCCGTCTTGTGACTTCCTGACCAGCAACCTCTTACAGTGTAAAGGAGGCTCAGAGCCTAGACCTCAAGGAATCAGAGAACTCAGGGGCCTTCAGCCCAGAAGGATGAGGGTCAGCCTGGCTCTCCTCACTCTTTCATTCTCTGAACAAAGAGAACACAATGGCAAGAGGCGGAGGTGTGGGTGGTCCAGAAATGGTTACCTGGGTCAGCACCTGAAAACAGCACCTTTACTGGGGGCCTCTCCCCCCTCCTGGGCAGGACTCATTTCTCCCTCCTCTGGGGAGAAGAAAACCAGCCTCTGCACAGAGCCTCCTGGCCCTTGGGTACCCAGCAGAGAGAAGCTGATCCAGAGCCGGCCAGGCTATCTGCTCAGCCACCTCCAGGGGCTACACAGGAGCCACATGTAAGCCTGGGTTGGGAGAGAGAAACTGCAAAGGATTAGGCTGGCTTCCTGGCTTAGAAGGGGTTTTACAATATTTGAATTGGTTGCCAACCTTTAAAAATTGGAGACATTAAAAAATCTATACTGTCTATTTATTTTGCAAATATGGAAGACCAAGCAGACCTGTGCCTGAGTTTCCACACAAGATAACCTTTGACTGGAACTAAGGTGGTGAGTGCTGTCCCTTTAGACAGGGGTACACGCCCCAGGTTCCAGGAGCCCCCACTGCCAGGCCACACCCAGCTGCTGTCCGCCTGGTCTGAGGGGGCATATGAGTCTCAGACCCCTGTGTCGCCCTCTCTCCTTTCCCTGTAGGATGTGTCCACTTGTGAATATGGCTCAGAGCTGCTCCTGGCAGGTAGGAATAAATACCTGTGGGACACAAGACGAGGGAGCAGCAGGCAACTCTGAGAGAGGCCTTTCCACCCTAAACAGGCAAGGTTGCCTCTCTGCAGGGGGCTGGTGCCTGGGGAGAAAGTGACACAGCCAGGAGTCCCAGGGGTGGGGTGGGCCATTTCCTGAATCTCAACTCTCCTGAGTTGAATTTCAACCAAATTCAGAGAAGGGAAAATGCTGGGTCCTGGGCCTCTCATTGGACCTCCCTGCTGGTCCAGGAATGAGAGCTATTTACCAGGAATTCTGACTGCAACCACCTATAGAGCTCCTGAATGCTTTCCCATAGCTCCATTATCATTGTATGACCTCTCATCTGCAGATGGGGCCACCAATCCTTTCCCAGAGGGTTGCTGTGAGGAATAGAGATGAGTCAGGAAGCAAGCCACATACCAGGCCTAGAGACTTCGTAAGTGGAATCTTTTTTCTCTCCAAAGAACAGCAAAACAAAATGGAGAAATAATTGGCTTTACAGTCAGAAAGATATAGGTTCTATATACATCAACAAATATACATCAAAAGCCTGCTCTGTGCCACCCGTTCAGTCAGCATGTGTAATGTAGTGCTGGGCAGGAACGGACACTTCAGCTCCCAGTGACCCCCAGCTGTGGCCTGCCATGCTTCAGTTAGGCTTCCTGAGCCTCAGCTTCTTTGTCTGTGACATGGGGGTAATAAGGCCTTTATTGCACAAAACAAGCATGGGCATATAAGTCAGTATGCACAATACTCTGACATTTTAAGAACACAGGTTCAGAAAGGCTGAGCGTCCTGTCTGGAGTCACACAGCTTTCACGAACAGAAACAAGGACAAGTCTAGCATGCCTGCTTCATAGGCCAGGCTCTGCTCTTCTGGGCACAGCAACTCCCAACCCCCAGCATCCCTCTGAAACCTGTGAGGGAACAGTGCCCAACCTGGGCATCCGCTAATATTTCCATGTGGGAATTCCTTCCCAGCCTTTCTTAGAAAATTATATGTTTTTCCAAATCCCAAGAAAATTCAGTTGAGAAACTGAGAAAAAGTGTTATAATTCTCCTGAAGGAATTGAAGCTTAACAATCAACACAGAGCTGATACTGATTTAAAGTAATCCACTGACATCAAGAGCAAGAGCCGGACACATTTGACACGTGAGGTTCAAAGTGAAGACTGGCCCTTTGGGGAAGCAGAACAGGAGCATGTAGGAGAGAAGTGGTCACGGTCCATCAGCTTGAAGCCCTTGCCATGGGACAAGTGTGAGTTCAGGGCCCGTCTGCTGCTAAACAAATGCAAGTGAGTTTGTGTTTATAGCACATTTTACACAAATCATGTAAGTGATGTTTCAAGAAATAAGTTTTGGAAACAAAGTCCTTAAATTGGAAATTTCAACTTGCTAGGAGATGTGAATAGTATGTTATTTGAACAATAATATTCACTGACATTGTTTGAGTTATTGCTATAGGCTATAGCTTGTTAGAAATGATTTAACAGAAGAAATTCTAAGAGGAAACAGGTAAATGTCATAGAATACTGGGAGATGAAACCAGAAACATTCACTAAAATTTAAATTAGCAAACGCAATATTGGAATGGGAAAACCAAAATCAGAGTAAGCAGACATCTAGGTCTTGAAGAGCACTTCTTCCCAGTTGTGGAGGAGCCACTGCTAGACCTCACAGGACAGGTTCCAGAAATCGGAGTACACTGGCAGCTCACTGCCGCTGCCCTTAGTTATGGGGGCAGGGGAGGGGGTGCTTCTTGGTTCTGAGAGAAGCTGAGCAGATATGGGGTGTCCTGTGAGTGAGGAACTATAGCTACTGTGACTGTGCTCCTTCTCTGAGCCGCCCTCCTCAGGAAATAGAATCGCCATTCTCTAAGCTGCTCAAGCTGCAGACAGGAAGTCATCCTTAAGACCTCTCTCCCTCATCTCTCCACCCCTCCCCCACCTCCTACCCAATCCATCAACAAATCCTATCAGCTCTGCCAAAACTCCTCTCAAATCCATCTGCTTCGGCTTTCCACCACCACCCGAGTCCAGATATCATCTCATGGCCTCAGGACATGCCCATTAACTAATAAACGAGGGTTTGGCAGAAACACAGAATCCAACCAGGTGTCAGGAAGACCATGAAAATTCAGAGTTCAAGTATGCAGAAAGAATATACAGATTGTGTGACATAGAAACCCACACATGAAACCTAAATGTTCATGTTGACCAATGTCACCCCAATCAATCTAATAAAAAATTTTAAAAATTATGCAGAAAGAAATTGCAGAAGGAAGTCAGTCATAACCCCAGTAGGAAAGGCAAAATTTCATCCACACAGATCAGAGAGAAGAATTATAGAAACATCTGAAGGACTGATGGAGGGGGGAGGTAATAAATATCCTGAACAACTCAAGAAATGAAAAAATCTAGCCTAGCCATTAGAAATGTTTGCTACATTCTCCATGAAGGTTCTGGCTTCTGTCCACACAAGTCACACAGAAGAATCATTCGAGTCCTAGCCGGTTTGGTTAAGTGGACAGAGTGTCAGCCTGCTGACCAAAGGGTCCCAGGTTCGATTCTGGTCAAGGGCACATGCCTGGGTTGCGGGCTCGATCCCCAGTGTGGGGCATGCAGGAGGCAGCCAATCAATGATTCCCTCTCATCATTGATGTTTCTATCTCTCTCTTCCTTTCTGAAATCAATAAAAACGTATTTTTTAAAAAAGAATCATTTGAGGGTCTAATTTGAACATTAGAAGACACCAACCCTTTTTAAAAGAAGTGAACTTCAGGCCTCCTGTTGTCATTGCGACTCTCAAGTTAGAGCTCCAAGTACCCAGTCACAGTGGAGAGGAATCACCCTTGAAGTGCAAAGGCCCACAGCTCAAGTCCCCTTTCACCAATAAGCAACCCCTGCTGCTGGGATGGTGATCTGGTAGGGGCCATAAATAACTGCCCCAGCAATCTCAATTTGTTTAAGATAATAACACTGCACCCTAGTGGGGAAGACTCAGAAAGGTCACAATTAAACATAGATATGAATATGTAAGTCATGCATAGACTATTAATACTCATGCAAAAATCAGGAATAAATTTGTTGGCTTTATAAACAGGACAATATGGGTAAAGCAAAAGGCTTATAGGAAATTAATTTTTAAATGTATTTTTCTACTAATATTCATTGAAGAATCAAAGTAACTGCAAATAGCTTCCTACACACAAACTTTACCTGCAGCCGTGGAAAAATACATGGGTAGAAGTCCTCCTCGTCGCTCACCTTGATGACAATACGCTCCACTCCGTCTTTTCTCTTCCATTCTTCCCCATCCCCTCCGTTCTCCACTTGAAAAGCTTCCAAGAGCTTCCCATTATACCTAGAATAAATCCCAAAATCCTTATAACATGTCCTGCCAGATGCCCCATAACTGGGGCCCTTCCTGTTTCCTGAGGTTTATTCTGCCCCACCCTCTCTCTCTCTTGTCTTGGTGTTCCAGCCACACTGATCTTATGTTGTTACTTCAAATGCACTATCCTCATTTTTGCCTCAGGGCCTTTTCACATGCTCTTCCCTCTCCTAGGATTTCTTTTTCTTTTATAGATTTCAGAGAGGAAGGAAAAGGGAGAGATAGAAACATCACCCCCCTGTAGGGGGAAGGGTAGTGCAGGGGGCAGCTGAGCAATGGTTCTTTCTCACCACTGATGTTTCTATCTCTCTCTTCCTCTCCCTTACTCTCTGAAATCAATAAAAATATGTATAAATTTTTTAAAAAAGAGGTGGAGTTAGGATATAAGCTAGTTAGGAAACTTATAGAAAAACAAGTCCCTTTAAGATTTGATTTTGCAAGCCCCGTACATACCATATCAAGCATATTGAAGTGTATGCACATGCCTCATTAAATATAATCCACAAATAACTATATAAGAAACGAGCTAAAAGTTTAGCTATGTTTGCCTAATTAACAAAATGCAAATCTACAATCGCTTAACCAAAACATTGGGGCTAGATGTGTTCTGGAATGCACAATCTTTCAGTTTTTAAAAAAGTAATACAATATGATCTAGCAATTTTACTTCTGGATATACACCCAAAAGAACTGAAAACAGGTACATGAAGAGACATATGTATGACCATGCTAGTAGCAGCATTATTCATAACTAGAGGCCCAATGCACGAAATTTATGCAGGGAGGGTCCCTCAGCCTGGACTGTGCCCTCTCACAGTCCAGGATCCATTGGGGGATGTCCACCTGCTGGCTTAGGCCCGATCACCCCTGGGGATCAAACAAAAATGTAAGCCAGCAGTTAGACATCCCTATTGCAGTCCTGTGCTCTCGCAGCCCAGGAACCTCTCACTCCTTACCACCTGCCTACAGCAGAGGCAGGAGAGGCTCCCGCCACTGTGCTCACCAGCCGTGAGCCCAGCTTCTGGTTGAGTGGCGCTCCCCCTCTGGGAGTGCACTGACCACCAGCGGGCAGCTCCTGCATTGAGCATCTGCCCTCTGGTGGTCAGTGCGCATCATAGTGACCTGTCATTCTGCCATTTGGTCGATTTGCATATTAGGGTTTTATTATATAGGTGAAAGCAACCCAAGTTTCCATCAACAAATAAATGGATTTTTAAAAATGGGGTATACACATACAATGGAATATTATTCATCATTCTGACATTTAAAAGATCAGAAATTCAGAAACATGCTACAACATGGATGAACAATGAAGAGAGGTCTATACCCTACATTATGATAAATGAAATAGGCCAGTAATGATCCCATTCATATGAGGTACTTAAAGTAGACAAATTCAGAGCCCGAAGTAGAATGGTGGTGGCCAGTGGTTGGGGGAGAGAGAAATGGAGGGCTATTGTTGAATGAGTACAGAGTTTCAGTTTTGCAAGATGAAGAGTTCCATGGAAAGGCTGTGGTTATGGTTGTGCAATATGTGAATGACCTAACTGTACAGTTGAAAATGGTTAAAATTTGACCAGTTTTGTCTAAAGTACACACCTTCTGTTCTTCCTTTGAACTTAATAGCATTGTGACTGTTCTTATAGCTTTGATCACACTCCCCTTTACCTGATGACTCTGGTCTAAGCTCCTTGATAGTCCCTAGCAGGTCTACTTTCCCTTCACTCACGTAACAAATGAACACAGGGTATGGCAAAAGTAGGTTTACAGTTATGAGTACTCAAAACACAGATTTTATTCCTGTATTATTATTTTTTAATGAATTATTTTCCATACAAACAATTGTAAACCTACTTTTGCCCCTCCCTTTATATATTTAGCAATTCTAGGTCACTGTGTGCATAGGGTACAAGATCAGAGATCCAAGGGGGAAAAAAAAGGTTAAAATTGTACATTTTTATATTATATACTAGAGGCCCGTTGCAGGAAGATTCCTGCAAGAACAGGGCTTCCTCAGGCCTATCCCTGCAAGAATAGGGCTTCCTGTGGCCAGAGGGAAGCAGAGAAGGGAGTGAAGCCTGCAGAGGCGGGCCTCACTCCCTCCCTTCTCCACTGCTTCGCTCCCTTCTGCAGCTCTTGGCTTCCTTCTACGCTGTATTCAGTCTTCCCTCTGGGCCTGCATATGCAAATTAACTGCCATCTTTGTTGGGTTGATTTGCATACTCATCCTGATTGGCTGATGGGTGTAGCAGAGTGACACCAATTGGCATGTTTCTCTTTTATTAGTGTAGCTGCTTTACCACATGTTCAAAAAATAGTATTTTTTAAAAGGTAACACATATCTGCAAATAACTGAATATACTATTCCTGGCAGAGTCCAGGAAATATACTTTAATCAAACAATAATATTTCTGCAGCAAACACAAATATTTATACTAATGGGATAAAGACAGTAAATGGCCTCACTTCACTTGGGGTGACAAACTTTTGCTCAAGAAGTTATAGCGGTAGAATTTACTGTCAAATCAAATCCATTAATGCTCAATATGGACACTTTGTCTATTGATCTTTAAGTTATTTTCTACTAATCTTCAGTCCCTATTATTTCTGAATTCTTTTACCATTTCACTGTCCTTCTAGTCTTTTTTTTTTAATATATTTTTTATTGATTTCAGAGAGGAAGGGAGAGGGGAGAGAGAGAGAACAATGCTAGAAACATTGACTGTCTCCTGCACGCTTCCTACTAGGGATAGAGTCTGCAAACCAGGCATGTGTCCTGAACGGAAATCAAACTAGCATGTGTGTGGGAGACCGCCTATTGTCTTCACTAGCAGAGAGGTGTGGACAAGGAACCCGGAAGGCTGGTGATCCTTGAAGGCCTTGCAAAGGTCAGGGCTGTGCACCCATTGTTAGTCCAGACAATGGTAGCTAAAGCACCTTCCCCATTTATTATTATGTAAATCCTTGCTGATGGGCTAGTCTGCCTGTTACTGGAAATTGCCTGCCTAAGGGCTATGGGTGGATCCCAAACCAATAAAAGTTGGCAAGGCCTGAGCACCAGTGGAAGTCCTTCTCCTTGAGTTGGACTTGCCCGCCTGGTCCCCCAATATTCCCAAATTATCTCGTCTCTTCTCTTTCATTTGTGTGCGGCTCCTCTTCCAGATCCTGAACCACGCGGGACGTGGAGGGAAACATTTACCACACATGGGACTCTCAACTGCCAACCAACAGCTGCTAAGCAATGGCTGCCTGCAGACCCGAGCACTGCCATCTGAGCTGCAATGACCAGGTGCCTTGGACAAGGGGCGCACCTGGGAAATGGGAAGTCACATAGCCAAGACCAGGCACCTGGATTTCCTGCCTGGGTGCTTTCAAGGTGTGTCCTAAATTGACTAGAGTCCAGGCCTTATGTCTGGGGAGCTGTCCTCACCTCATTGGGCTCCTCCTCTTCCTGTTCACCCTGAGCTTCCAGCCTCTGCTTTTTCCATTGATCCACATCCCGCTCCGCCTTGGAAACGTTACTTCTTGCCACTCACTCAGAAGCTTTATCAGGAGGCTTGTTCCGGAAAACAGTTTCCTCAATTTATTTTTGTAACTTGAATGGTAAAACTCAGGTTTAAGAGAAGAGTTCCCTCTGTTTTTCAAATGACTCAGGGGCATGTCTGCATCTTGTACATTTGAAAAAGGAGTTTAATGAATAGTAATAACACTGATTCTATATCTTATAGATTCCCCTCCAAGAAATAAGGCAGTATGTAAATTGGTGCACGCATAACATCACTTTTATCATTACAATCTAGCTGCCCACTCGTTAGGGATGACAAACTGTCTCCATTTCTGTGTGAGGATGCCCTCTCTGGCTCAATAGTCAGCTCAGTGCTGGTGTTCCTCAGGCCTTGCAGTACTTTCATGAACGGTCCTTTTATAAGTAGTAAGTTCATCTGTCAAAAAAGAAGAGACCACTTTTGATACTCATGGGACAGGTTTTTTCAGTCCACAGCCATCCATCCCAGTCAAATTGTGAATCAGCAAATATTTGAGTGCCATTTAGAGTAGGTTGTACTGAAGAAGGTTGGAATGCCGGAATTCAGCCTCTTCAGAGATAAATGACGTGGGTTAGAGGTCAGCAGGACAGAGTCCAGGGCCAACTCCAAAGGCTGAGTTGTCTGGAACTGCAGATTTCAGAGAAGTTTGGCTGCTGAGCCTAAACAGGCTCTGGAAGTGCAAATGTCACCTTGAGGAGCTTTGGAGGAGCTGTAGTCTGCTACAGGGCTATGGCATCAACCTTCAAAGTAGGTTCGGGAGGGAGGGTTAGCTTCAGGTCCAAAGTTTGAAATGCAACTTCAGTCAAGGTTGGCTGCAGAGCCTGAACAGACTCTGGACATGAACTGTCACCCCAGGGGGTTTTGGAGGAGCTGTAATCTGCTGCAGGGCTGTATGTCAGCCTCCAAAGTAGGTTCAGGAGTGAGGGTTAGCACCGGTCCAAAGGTTGAAATGTGACTTCAGACAAGATGGGCTGCTGAGCTTGAGCAGGGGAGGCTAGCCTGTACAGTGAATCATAGTGAAGCAGTTCTGGACAAGGAAGCTTCAGAAACTCTGTGAGGCCTGGGTAGTAGAGATAGTTGTCACCTTGGATAATCTTGCCACTCTTGCTGACAATCATTTCCTTCATGCTACTGAATAAGAAAACCTCTTTGATGCCTTAGGCTTCTCCTTGATTTTAAGACATTATTCTTTTTCTGTATTTATAAAAGACAAAAGAGACAGTAATCATGTGTACTTGCCAAAATATAAAAGAATAATCACTAACAATTTCTGCATTAAATAAAGAACTCTAACACGAATGCCCTCTCAACTATGTATTAACTTGTAAAACATTTCCTTCATTCCTCTATCAGTGATGGGCTTTATGCTCTGAAAACCTCAGAACCTAAAGCTTATGAAATGGTTTTAATGTCCAATTGAGAGGGGGGAAAACTCATTATTCACAACTGATAACAAGTAATTGTTTCTAATCTCTCCAGTACGTGAGTGGCTGTGTGAAATGGTTGCAGGTTAGAACCAGGTAGATCACAGTCTGCAAATTAATGTCTGCCAGGTAATCTTTTCAATGGCAGAGAGTGGAGCCAGGATTGAAGAAAGTGTTGAACAGGGTACAGAAGTAAAGGTAGTACAACTGAGTCACATCTGAGGAGAGTTCTCAGATTCAGTCAAGGTTAAGTCAATGAGGAAAGGAATATGGGTAAGAATAGGCAGCAAAGTAGTAAAAAAGTAGCCAGATCACCTAGCCAGTGTTGCTCAGTGGTTGCACACTGACCCATGAGCCAGGAGATCAGGACACATGCTGGGTTATGGGTTTCATCCTCAGTAGGGGACATACAAGAGGCAGCCAATCAGTGATTCTCTCTCATCATTGATGTTTCTATCCCTCTCTCCCTCTCCCTTCCTCTCTCTGAAATCAATAAAAAAAAAATTTTTAAGTAGCCAGATCAAGGAGTCAATCAGAGAGGCTTATTTAGACATACAATAATAAAATGAAAAGCACGGGAATTCTACGCCTCACTCACTTATTTAGAGGAATTAAAATGGTCCGTGAAAAAGGAATGGTGGTTGAATTGAGCACATAATGAACCATAATTCTGGGGTCTGGGGAAAGTAAAATTGGACAGCATGTTAATATGGAATAAAGTTTCTACAATACACTAAAGAATGTTTTAACTGTTTTCTGGGAACTGAAGGGAGTTCTGAGTAGGCAGGTTTTTGTTTTGTTTTGTTTTTGGCAGTTTGAGAGTGATGGTGATGATAAATCATCCTTTGTTTCAACTGATGAAAGATTTTATCAAGCTCACATATTTTAAAGCCACATAATAGTAAATATAAATGAGATTCTTCTTGTGACAATTTTTAAACAAAGGGGCAGCATAAAATGACATGGGGTTTAACATCATTACGTTTGGGTTTGACCTCTAGCTTCCACAGTATTGTCATGAACCTTAAGTAAATCCCTTAATCATCCTGAATTCAAGTCTCTCCATTTTAAAATAATGGAGAACCAGAGGGTCGGTGTAGTGATGCATCTGTAAGCATTTTGTAAACCAGAGTGCTGTACAAATGCTGGCCTCATGTGAGGCAACAAAAGCATAGATACTGCACCAGAGTGGAGACCACAAATCCCCAGTTGTTATTAATTATTGACTGTTAACTGTCCTGTACAGACCTATGTAAAAGAAATGTGTCTATCATTTTCCTTTTTTTTTTTTTTTTTTTAAGAGGAAGGGGGAGAGAGAGAGAGAGAGAGAGAGAAACATCAATATGAGATGGATGGTGTTAGGTCGGAGAGAGCCCAGGATCGGATACATGCAGACATGACAAGATAATGGACTTCCCCTGGAATTTCTCACAGATCAAGGTGCCAGACACAGATACCAGCTTCTTCTCCCTGAATTCACATACCCCCACACAGATAAGAACTTCGTCCTGAATATTCCGCCCATTCCCTGCAGCAGAGAATTCCTCAGCTCATGTCCCCGCCCCTCACCCAACCGCAGTATAAAAAAAGCGCCCCCCTCCCTGTTGGCGTGAATCCACGTGCCCTGTCCTTGGGGTACGTGGGTCTCCCGGGGACGCAGAATAAACCTTTTCCTTTCCTTTCTTTTCTGATTCACTGGACTCTATTTCTTGTGCCGCCTCCTGAGCCACCTAACCTAACAGATGGGTAGCCTCCGCATGCACCCTGACTGGGGATCAAACCGCAGCCTAGGTGCGTGCTCTGACCAGAATCAAACTCACCACCCTTCTTGCGCATGGGGTGAAACTCCCACCAACTGAGCAACACCAGTCAGGGCCATCATTTTACTTTCTATCCAATCCCAGAGGTGTTTCCTTGCTTTGCCTTCTCTCACCTCCCTAATCTGTCACCAATGGATTTCGAATAACTCACTTGAGTCTTCTCTTTTGATTGTAATATATAAATTAAGGTGCAAAACTGCCATTCTCTGGATCAGTGGTTCTCAACCTTCCTAATGCCGCGACCCTTTAATACAGCTCCTCATGTTGTGGTGACCCCCAATTTCATTGTTACAAATTGAACATAATGAAAGCATAGTGATGAATCACAAAAGCAATATGTAATTATGTATGTGTTTTCCGATGGTCTTAGGCGACCCCTGTGAAAGGGTCGTTCGACCCCCAAAGGGGTCGCGACCCACAGGTTGAGAACCGCTGCTCTGGATAATTTTCTCAATACATTGAGATTTTTGCCTCCCAGCAATTGTCAGTTGGGCTCAAACTCACAAAAAATCTCTGTAGGTTTGAATGTCTCTTACATTGACATAACCCAAACTGAGTGCAAAGAGGAGCTGGGGGGGGGGGGGGGGAGGGGGGGGGCGGGGGGGGGGGGAGACAACCCCTCAAAATCCTCAAGTCGCTTTTAAGGAACAGATATATAATAAAAACATAAAAGAAACCATATTAGAAATGCACAGAGGTCTGCAAAACAAGCTTTTTCATTCCCAAAACCCAAACCAACACAAGGGGAGAAAAACGAACGCAATGCCTACCTGTGCCAAAGTCTGACCCTGCCCACGGAGACACTGCCCGATTCTGAAGAGGAAGTGGAGGGCTGCGGGGAGAGGAGGGCGAGCCACGCGTGGCCTACAAACGGCAGCAGAGCAATCTCCACTTTGAACGATGGCCTCTTCCCTCCGGCAAACCCCAAACCCGGCGTTGTTTTGTCACTGGGTGTGCCCTAGTATGTCCGCTCTGTGGCGGGGAGAGGGGGGAGGTTAGAGGAGGCGGGGAAGGAGCCTGCGGCCACTGGGCCAATGGGTACCCCCGGCTCCAGAGCTGCTTTCCCTGCAGTACCTGGCCTTGTCCCGCCTCCCACCGCCTCGGGAGGCTCGCGGGTGTCCCGGTCCTCCTCCACCTCGTCTTCCTCAGGGCCCTCAGATGCCTGCTCCACCTCCCACTCCTGGTCATTGTACCCACTTTGGTACCAGCCGGGTGGCCCCTAGGTACGAGGTCTGGGAGGAGCTGGGGGCTACCGCCGCTAATAGGCGGGGTGGACAGGGGCGGCTCAGCTGCTCCTGCGGTGCCGCCAGTAGGTCCTGTTGGTTGGTCCTGTTGGTTGGCTGCTGAGGCGCCACGTGCGCGGCGGCGCCACGTGCGCGGCGGCGCCACGTGCGCGGCGGCGCCACGTGCGCGGCGGCGCCACGTGCGCGGCGGCGCCACGTGCGCGGCGGCGCCACGTGCGCGGCGGCGCCACACATCACTTTTCTTTTTAAAACCCAGCTGCTCGTGAAGGCTGGTGACCTGTCTCCGTTTCTGTGCGAGGATGCCCTCAGCTCAGTGCGGGTGTCCTCCGGCCTGGCAGTGCTTTCATGAACGGTCCTTCTACCAGTAGTCCGTCATCTGTCAAAAAAGAAGAGGCCACGTTTGATACTGAAAGTCTCACGGGACAGCTCTTTGTCCGTCCACAGCCATCCCTCCCAGTCAGATAAATTGGGAATCAGCAAATACCTGAGTGCCATTTAGAGAGGAGAAAAATAAACCCAACTGAAACCTATGATTGTCAACACAACAAAAGGAGACAAGGGATCGTTTTAAAAAGTGGTTATTTACTGAGAACATCCCATAGTGTGAAATATAGTAACTATATTTAGGATTAGTCCATTGGTCCTCAAGGGCCAATTTTGGGTTACTAAAGAAATGCCCAGTCTGGAAGACCCACTCAGTGAGACAAATGGCTAGGTGAGATCCTATCAAGGGAAACGTAGAGAAATTAGTGGCAAAGGAGTTACTTGAGTAGATAGAAGAGACAGGCCAAGGCTACCACAGGGCTGGGCAAAAAGAGTGGTTGGGGCATATCCTCTGAACAGTTTCGTGGAGATCAGTTGACCCTTTGCTTCTCTTGAATATTGTAAAAAGTAGGAGAACAGAAGTGCCCAACAGAAGGGTAAAAATGGAAGTGGGTGTGTGATGCCTAGAATAGAGGTGATAGGAAGTAGAAATGGGTGACACTGATCTGTAGTTTAATTCAGAAGTATTGCCTTCTCCCAACCCAAACGTCTCACTTTGGGGTTGAGAGTATACAGGAAGAGGAAGACTTCCAAGAAGACTTGGATAAGTCCCGAACTTATAAAGTCCCTTGCATAATTCCTAATTGTGAGTGGTAAATATATTAGAAATTATTCTGGGCACAGAAAACATTGTGTGGTTAAATAATAACAGATTGCATTGGCCAAATCTGGGCAACTTGAGCATTCAAAAGAATAATGATAATAAGGTCTAACATAATTAACTTAAAGAAGAGCCCATGAGTTCATAATGGTACTCAAAAGAAAAGAGGGAGCTATCACTTATAGAATAATGCAAGCTAATAACTGTAGAAGGAATAATAGAATTAGAAAAAAGTGTCACTTGTAACCACCAATGTAATAATCGATTCAGACACGGATTATCATTGATGTACAGTTGGGTAAAAATTTAAGAGTATAATTTTCACTGATCCCAAAGTTTCATCCCACAGGTTATTTATTAATTACCAAGGAAAGATAAAACTTAACAATGGAGAGACCTGGAAGATACCACCTTCACCAAGTGATCAAACTTAGCATTATGGGCCACTTGAAGTGATAAGGCAGGAAGGACGTATCACCTATGTAGTATTCTTTCCAAAATAGTTTGCCTTGAATCTAATCATGAGCACAGACAAATCCAGACTGTGGGACAACTTATAAGACAACTGTCTTAGACACATAAAAAATTCCAGTGTCATAAAAGATTTTTTAAAAGGTTAGGAAAATTTTTTTAGACTAAAAAAGACAAAGACATGACCTGTGATGGCTGATCTTTGAGTGGATCCTGGATCAAAACAAAACAGATTTAAAGAATATTATTGGAGAGGGGGAAAGAATATTCCTGGCTTTGGCCAAGTTGGAGTAACTGGGACCAATTTAACCTCCTGTGTAAAACAGTTTAAAAACCAGACAAAATAATACGTAAGAACAGTTTTTAAGGAATTTCACCTCACACAATGGAGAACAGGGACCCCAACACATAGGAAGTAAATGAAGTGAGACCTATGATTGCCCTAGCTTATGGCTCTGAGTTTCCAGGTCATGATGGAACTAAGAGTCGGGGAAAACCAAGGTGACTAGACTTTACAAAGCAGAATACTAGAAAGCAAAGAGGTCCACTGACAAGAACTCTGGGGATATGCAGAGAGATCTCTTGAGTATGCCACAAAGTAGTAGTCAGTACATGTGTATGAAGAATTGCTTGAAGCCAGGAAAAGAACCACACAGTGTTCCCAAAAGCCAGCGATTAAAAACTACAGTGTCTAAATGCAAAAGACACTGGACAGGATTAATGGCAGATTAGACACTGCAGAAGGAGCAAAGATACGTGAATTTAAAGCATAGCAATAGAAACTATACAAAGTGAAATGCAAGGAAAAACAAAACAACAAAAATGAACAACTGTGAGGATTAAGTAAACTAGGATATGCAAGGTGGCTGATACACAGCACACGTTTGCCACATATTCCCTTTCTCTGTTCTTTCCTTAACCTGAATTCAACTCACTGAATTCAACTTTGCACCAGGCCCTGCCCCACCGCCCTCCCTTTCAACAAACACTGGGGGAGGCCTGTTTCTCCGCCTCCACCTGCTCTGAAGTGATCAGAGTTCAGAGCGCTCAGTGGTCAGAGAGGGAACGACCAGCAGCAAGTAGGACATCTGCACTCAGCCGTCTCCTGAGGCTGAACTGCCCCACTGAGAAGATGAAGGTCTTCGTGGCTGTCCTCTTTCTCCTCCTCCTCAGCCTCAGCACTGCTTCTGCTTCTGCTTCCTACAGCCAGGCAAGTGAGTCCACCTGCCCCTGTAGGACAGCGATGAGCAAGGGGACCGGGGCAGCTGGCAGTGAGGTGACACCAAGAACGCTGTCAGATCTCTGTCATCATCCTTGGGGCCTCTCCCCCTCCTGCATGCTTAGCCGCTATCTTGAAACTCTTCCCTTCGTAAGCAGCTGGGCTGTGGTCCAGATCCTTCTGGGGTTGGGCAGTTTTGGGAAGATGGGTCAAGGTTATGTCAGAAGTCCCAAGGGATGAGCCTTTAGGAAGAGGAGCCAAGGAAGTAACAGAAGAGACAACAATAAATGTATGTGCTGAAGAGGCAGGCAAGGCAAGTGGATGAGAACAGCCTGCTCTCTGGGAGAGCAGACAAAGTGTTGGGTAGGCAGGCTGAGCGCTGTTTGGGGCTAAGCTCAGAAATGAGGAGTCTGAACCTAGACACCCCTTCCTGGCACAGACTGCTGGGACTATCATGGCAACCAAAAGGGGTCCCAGTGGGATGCTCACCCAAGTGTGCCATTGGGGTTTCATGACTCCCATCTCCACCCCACCCCACCCCCAGCCTAGATCTAAATAAAGTCTGTGGGAAAAGGGAAAGAGGAAACGGGTTAAAAGGTTTTGGAGCTACAGAATGCTTGGGAACTATGGAGAACAAGATTTGTTTCATCTTGCTTTACCCCTGCTTCTACCATCATTTATGAGGACCTGGTGACAGGGAAGGGACCAGTCACTCAGTCCTTCCACATACCTGCCTTCTGCTGCCCCAGCCCTTTTCTCCCTAGGCTGCCCTTGGCTTGCAGTCGAGCCCAACTCTGCCTGTATAAATATTTGGAGGAGCAAGGGTCATGCACACCACATAATCTGCCCACACGCTCTCAGGATGCCCTGATCTAAACTTTGTTTTGAGAGCCAAGGACATTAATGTCACTGTGTGCAGAGGTGCATATGGTGGGATAACAGTGCCCTCTGGGAGGTCAAGCAGGCTTATGCGATGGGTTCAGGCTTCGAGAAAGAGAAAATGGCTCACCTAAAACACAAGTCAGCCAAATGGTGCGCTCAAGATGTTCCAAGCCTTGCCACCAGCTGTGCTCAGTCCCTGCTAACAGATGGCTTTGCCATCAAAGGAGGGAAGTGCAGTGGACGGGAGATGGAGGCCATGGGCTCCCTCTCTGCCTCCTCAGCTCAGCTTTCAATGTGATTCCCTCAGGAAGTCCGATGTCGGTGAACATTTCACCCAGCTGCTGCCTGAAGCATGAAGAGAAAGTATTACCAAGGAAACTGGTGGTGGGATACAGAAAGGCCTTCAACTGTAACCTGCCAGCAATCATGTAAGTACTTCCCTACAGGTATTTCTGTGGAAAAGGAAGGGGAACCAGGGACTGGAATGAATGCATAAAACCAGTAACTCTCCATCTCCACACTAGGAGGAGGAGAGTAGTGGTTAAGGGCTTTGACTCTCACAGGACAGGCCTGGGTTAAATTCTTGATTTTGCTACTTATAGCTGTGTGACCCAATAAATAGTGCTCATAATGAAACCCAAGCCTGAGGGTCTAGGCTGGGTAGGGAAGGGGTTGATGTGGTCTAGAGGCTAGAGAGGGAGGCCCTCTGATGGGGCCAAGATGGGGTAGGCCTAGATTAGCCCCGTGTAAGCTAGAAGTGGGGGATTGTGGACTGGACCCCCACTCTACTCTATGGCCCATGACAGTCTAACTTTGTCTCCACAGCCTCGTCACCAAAAAGAAACGAGAGATCTGCACCAATCCCAACAACAAATGGGTCCAAGATTACATCAAGGATCCCAACCTGCCTTTGCTACCCCCCAGGAAGTTGCCCCAGGTTAAATCTATCTGATCATAGAAAGGCCTAGCCCAGCTCCCCAACTCCTCATGATAGTGAAGCCTTGGTGGGAGCCCAGGTTCAGGAAAGAAAGGTGTGACCCTATGAAAAATGAGGGCAGCCTTGTGGTCTGAATGACAGTCACATTCAGAGAAATGAGCCAGTGATCCAAAAAATAAAAGTATTTTGAATATTTTCTCAATCTCTGGAGGAAATGCCAGAGTTAAGGGAGGTGAGCAGGCATACATTCTTAATACACAGAAAAACGCCTTCC